GAAGGGCGACATCTCGATAGTCGGGTGGATGGACGAGTTGTATGCCAACTTGACATCCGGCAACCGCTCAACCCAATCCTTTTGGTCGGGACGGATGAGAGTGCGAAGGAGAACCTGTGCGGACTGATGCGCCCTCTTCGTTTGGCCATCGGTTTGGAGGTGGCGAGACGAACTTGGCTTGAGAGATGAGCCCCATCGTTTGATGAGCGGCAACCAAAAATTGTCGCGGTCGCAGACGATTTCCTTGGGGTAACCCTTGGTTCGAATCCAACCGGCGTAAAGAACCTCAGCCAACTCCGGTGCCTTGGCATGATAGCGGCAAGGCAAAAACATGGCGAACTTGGTGAGTCGGTCGACCACCGTAAGAATCTCATCCACACCGGTCTTGTGCTTGGGGAACGACCCGGTAATGTCCATGGCAATCGCTTCCCTCTGGCGCAAGGGGACTGAAAATGGTCGCAACTCGTCGTACGGACGATGGTTGAGGGATTTGCAGCGTCGGCAAACCTCGCATGACTCGCAATAGCGTGTGACGTCGCCGAGAAGGCCGGGCCACCAAAAGCGCTTGCAAAGTCGACCAATCGTTCGATTGACTCTAAAATGTCTGGTGGCGGTGTCGAGCGCATCGGTCCCCGCGCGAGCGAGGGCCCTTCCGGCTGCGTCAGGTAGGAGAAACTTAGGCTTTCAACTTTTTAGAGACAACTTGGGGACGACACGGTAATCCGCGTTGACCCTTCGCCGCTCCGGTCGAGTGCGCCAGCTGTACGCGGTCCCCTACAACATGATAGGTTTTCGCGGGGCACAACTTACCTTCCCTAAGGGGCTGTCACCACTTTTAGGGACGTATCCCTGTCGAGCTACCGGCCCATGTGCGAAGGCTTTTATAATGCAATTGCAGAGGTAGGCCGGCTGAGGGTGTTTGCTCGTTCGCTGTAGCATACGTACGCATGGTTGAACGCCAAAGTGGACCCGAACGTCGTCCGTCCCTGGGGCGCTGATCTCCCAGGAATCGGAACGTACGCCGATCGACTAGGACGTGATATTCCAAGTGTAAGGAAAACTTTGAGCGATCCTAGTCCCTTCTTTCAGAGACAATCAAGAGTTATTCAGGCAAAACACTTTCAAAGAAGACTCAGGTCAACGTAAGTTGACTTATCTTATGAAATCGATACGTATATATTGCAATCATGCCTACCACTCATTCAGATCAAATCGACAAAGGCTAACTTGGCTTGTCATTCAACGACAAGCCAACATGAGTTGACTCGACTTCAAATAACACTTATCAGCAAAAGGATAAAAGCATGATTTACATGCATCGCAACGCTCAAATGACGTTTGACCAAAATATCTTCACTCTGTCTGCCAAATGGCTAGGCTTACACGACTTTCCGACTTGATGAGGTGCATTGCCAAGTGCTTTTAGACCATACCTCACTGACTGCTAGCAAAGAAATGCAAGCATCCCAACTTCCAAGCAAAGTTAAGATGCTATCGCTTTAGTGATGACTACGCTTTCATTTTAATTTTGGTGTGAGTGTCATCTGCAAGTAATCCGGCTACCACTATACAAGTCAGCGATCGACTTGAACAACCGAACACTGGATGCCCCATTAAGGACGAGGATCCGCTTCCAAATTTTGTTGGTTGGCTTGTCTTCCTGACCCTCATTGACCCTGCTGGAAAGGGTCGTTCCCTGCTCTAGCTATCCAAGTCTTGCTCGCCATATAGACCCTATTGCTGCTCGCTTCTTGTGGTGAGGCCAACCATAACAAGAGTGCTTAGCCGCACACTATTCCAACTAGTAACCATGAACCGAGCTTCTTGTAGCTCAGTTCCCCATGCACGAGTGGCCCGTAAAACGACCACTAGAAGGGTATGCTATGGCAGTTCCCCCCATAACGCGAGGCGTCATGGAACTCAAAGCCCCCTGCTATTAGCCGCAAATCCTTTCCCTAGAAGATGGTCTAGGATACCCCTCGTCCTCGCCCGAGCAAACCTCGGATCTCAGAAGTCGAACTGGCTCCACCACAACAGCATAGTATCCCCCTGCATAAGCGGTCCACTCCGAGTCGATAGCAGGGTCGGCCCCTAAGGCAGCGAACCCCCGCCTCAGATGTTTCCTAGGAAAGGGAAAGACGTCTACCACGACAGGCAAAATGGTCCTTTGTCGCCTGACATCAAGGGTAACTTAGACGAAGAAAAGAGATCACAGAAGAGAAAATCATTCAGATAGACGGACATAGACAGGGAGGGTCATTCGGGAAAGAACGGGTAACCTCAGGAAAAATCTATGTCCGATTGATTTCTTCTTCTTTGTGTGATCAAATTCCTTTTCGTCGTCTACTGGTTGTCCTTCCCTTCAACATGCATGCAAGCGAGAAATAGAAGATAACCATCCTTCCATTCACTTTCATAAACATGAATAGGTTCCTTCTTTTCAGACATCCTTCTACTTACCTGCACATCAGGCCGAACAACAAGTTCAAAAGAAAACAATGCAATCCCAAACTCATGTCAGACTTCCATTCAAAGAGCAGAGTCAAGCAAGTGTGGGTTCACACAGGTGTGAAGGGGTCTGAGTCAAACTGACCAACTGACTGACTGACTGACTGGCCTTGAGTGAAGATGAAGTACGGCTCACTCAAGAAAACCATATAGATTCTCGCCTTCAAATGAGAAACCTTCACAACAAGCCGTCAGCAAAGTGATCCACACCACTCCCTTGCGACGACCGCCTGCCACAATACCTTCTCAACACACAATCACTTCCCAATAATCTGACGGTGCCTTAGCATCGCCGTCACACTAACCGCACCACCACGCCGTTGCCATCAATACTAGAGCACACTACCATAAAATATCCCTCACAGTCAAGGCAAAACGGGCAGCGCTTCCGCGCCACCGCCTAGAACATACTGCCGCCGCCACAAAAGTTCGGCAGCACTTCCGCGTCGCTACCAAAAAAACATTGTCGACGCCAGAAGATTTCGGCAGCACTTCCACGTCACCACCAAAATCTCAGTGTCGCCACCGCAAAAAAAATGGGCAGAGTCTCCCCTACACCGCTTGCCGAAGACCCGCCGCCGCCGTGCAAAATGGGCAGAGTCTCCCCTGCACCGCTTGCCGAAGACCTGCCGCCGCCGTGCAAAATGGGCAGAGTCTCCCCTGCACCGCTTGCCGAAGACTTGCCACAAATAGCAGCACCTCCCACTGACCCTCTCTCACTGCAGACCTCCACTCCACTCCTCCTCTCACTCACTACTCCTTAGCACTCTGGCAGCATTAAGGCTGCTCTCCTTTCCACACTCAATCAGAACGTGGTCAGCAACTCAACTGAGTGAGGATGGCGCTGGCCAACCCTGCTTTTATAGCTGGCTGGAGTGGTGGGAAGCCACTTGGGGCTCAACCAAAAAACGGGGCTGAGCCTGGCCCTCGATATGAACTTCGATCGAGGAATGGGAATCTTGATGTTCCCCTAGGAACATCAGGTCCCAAGCTTTGGCAATGCACCCGGCCGCTTCCCCCCGCCAGGTGCAGCCTCGTAGTGGTTGTATGAAGCCATTCTCAGCAGACTGTTGAAACCAACAGTCTGCTTTCAATTCAAAGACCAGATGCTTCTCTGCCCTACATCTGGACTGAGGTCGCGAACGAGTTCATGACTATTTTTTTTTTTTCCAACTCTTCTCCTCCCCTCCAAGTCTTTTTTTTTTTTTTTTTTTTTTTTTTTTTAACACTTGCCCCCCCCTTCTCGTTTTTCATTGCAGGGGCAAGTCGCCGTTCAAAACAAACGGCCGCCCCCTCAGTCATATCATAGAGTCTAACTCGAGTCAAGCTCAGAGGGGTCTTCTACTTCCCCTGCTGCAATGTGCGCCTGTACCCGGTCGTCCCTAGCGCCAGGTTCGGGCGCTGCTGCCAACTGCAGCCTGTTCACTAGGTGAACGGGCGCAGGGACAAGGGAGCTGCAAGGTTAGAGACTTACCTGTCGGCCGGGACGTTCGTTCGCAGCCGGCCTCCATACTACTCCATAGTAGTAGTGGTAGTAGTAGTAGTAGTAGTAGTAGTAGTAGTAATAGTAGTAATAGTAGTAGTCGTATATTTCCATGTTCTCACAGTAGATTCATTCGATTTTGTCCATCATGTGAATGGACCGTGAGGCTCAGCCTCCTGATGAGTTGATGGGAGTTCGACGAAACAGTTTGGCACAGTGGTGCCTTAGTACGGTCCGTTCGGCACCTAAGAAAAAAAAAACAAACGAGGAGAAGAAATCCAAATCTAGAATGAACCTTAAAAAATCTAAAAAAAAATAATCTAAAAAAAATCTAAGATAAAAATCTAAAGAAAACTTAGAAAAAAGAAAAGAAAAAAAAACTTACCTCAGAAGAAAAGGGTTGCCCGTTTCGGACGGGCGCCTGCTGTTCCTCCTAGGGGACACTAAGTCCCCTTACTTCTGCCAGCGCCACCTGGCACATCGTTCAGTTTAATTTTAGTTTTTTTTTTTTTTTTTTTTTTTTCGATTTATGTGTCGTCCTTACGCAGTTGCCATGCTGATCCACGCGCGGTGGATTTCTGCTGCACGATCTCAATAATCGTGCAGCCGAAATCGGCCGCGCCGATTGCCCCCCCCTTAGTGGCTGCTCCAAAAGGAGCTATACCCAGTTGGGCGCGACATATCCGATTCGATCTCGATATCTGCCGGGTGAGAGTTTGGCATTGTAACCTACTCGGCTAGCTCCTATCACGACAATGATAGGAGCAGCTCTTCTATATGAAGAGTTTGCCCAGACAGTTCTCCCCATGCCGTGGCCTTGCTGGCCCTGCCTGCTTGCGGCTCTGCAGTATCCCGCCTGCTTGAAGCTTAATAGGTTTCGCTGGCAGGCCCTGCCCCGTCGGTTGGCCGTGTGACCTTAGCATTGGCCTATCAACCCCCTGGCTCGATGTCAACCCCCGCGGCCCAGGAAATAAAAACCCTTTTTTCTATTCCCCTTGCACCGCGGCCCTATACCCGGCGCATCCCTCATTTTAACCTACTTAGGACCTGAATTGCGCGGCTGCTAGTATTGAAGCTTGGTCAAGTGGGTCGCAATCTTCGAGTATCCCTTGGCTCCGACCACTCTTGGATGGCTTGAATCTTGTCCGACAACGGGCTGATGCCCTTCGGTGTGACAAAATGGTCCAAGTATTCCAACTCTTCCCGGACAAATCCGCACTTGTCGTGGTTGGCTTTGAACTTGGCGCGGCGGAGCGTCTCCAACACTCGTCGAAGGTGCTCAATATAATCTTCCAATGTCCGGCTATAGACGAGAATGTCCTCTAAGTAGACCAGCACGAACCGGTCCAACATCGCACAGAACTCGTTGGTCATTGCCGCTTGAAATGTCGTCGGGGCATTGGTGAGGCCAAAAGGCATGACCACCCACTCAAAATGCCCATACCGCGTCTTGAACGCGGATTTATAGCGATCGTTCGGCCGGATCGAAATCTGATAATATCCTGACTTCAAATCCAACTTAGAAAAGTACTTCGCGCCACCCAATCGCTCAACGAGATCGTTAATACGAGGAAGAGGCCCCGCATTCTTGACGGTTTGCGCGTTGAGCTTGCGGTAGTCGATGCATGATCGTAGATCCTTGTTCTTCTTCCGTACGAAGAGAACTGACACTCCATATGGGGAGCTACTAGGGTGGATCCAGCCCTTGTCCAACAAGTCATCGAGTTGCGAGCGGAGGACCGTAAGTTTATCCTCGCTCTTGCGGTAAATGTAACCTTTTGGCGACACGACACCGGCCTCAAGAATGATCTCGTGAGAGATTGGCCAATCCGGCACCACACCGGTAGGTAACTCGAAGATGTCGATGAACTCATCAAGCAACCGCACCACACAGGGGTCCGAAGACAAGTCCGTGGAGGCTACCACGACGATTCGTAGGAAGCATAGGCCTATCTCGTCAGGCTGCTCGTAAGCGCAAGTAGCCAGGAACGACTTGGCCGTTACCACTTGGCACCGGATTGAAGGGTGTGGAAGAGAAATGGTACACAACACTTCGGCGCCAAAGGCGTTCCGAACGGTAAGAGTCCGGTGGTCGATGTTGACCATGTGATCCGCACTTGCAAGCCAAGGCATTCCCAAAATGATATCGAAGACCGTGTCCAAAATGTCGTCACCGGTTCCAATGCATGAGGTGCAAAATACACCGGTACAGCCTCGATGTAACGGTCGATAAGTTGTTGCGTCCTTCCGTCCGCCAACTTGATCACTGTCGAGTTTGCCTTCCTCCGAACTTGTGCGTCAAGGCATCCCTTTGCATAAAGGCTTGGCACACGCCACTATCTAGCAAAGCGCTGCAAGACGCTTGCCCAACTTGGATGCGGACATAGAGGAGCGGTGCGTTGTTGTCATCGTACCACTGCTTGCGAAACTTGCGGGCGAACTTGGTAACATACGCAAAGATGTCCCCCACCACGACTTCGTCATCCRTCGGCGAAGTTGGTGGTGCATGGAAGGATAAGTACGTGCGAAGATCAGCGCATAATGCTTCACATTGCAGTCTTGACAACCGGCCCGTGGTCGGGAGAGGAAGCCGTGCAAAATCCTCCGACGTGAGCGGGTCCAAGACCTCTATGTTGAACTTGCATGCCGAATCCCGTGAAGAACCACTTGAAAATGATAAGTCGCCGCTGTCGGACGGAGAAGATGCCGCATACACGTCTTGTCCTTGAGCATGAGTACCCAACTTAGGAACGAGACGGGCAACATAGTCCTCATAAGAATATAGAAGAGGAGGGCTATCGACTTCCGCATGTGCCTCGAAACGAAGGGCGGTCACCCGCAAAGTGACCGGTTCCAAAGGCGTCGAGAGTGCCGTCGATTCACTCCCGACGGTGCTCAGTTTCCGGACTTGCCCTTGCCTTTTGACGGGCAACCCACTGTGTCGTGGAGATCATTGTTACACCACAAAAAATAGTGGAATCTTGTGTGTAGCTTGTACGCACGTTAGGAGAGACCATAGTGGGACCATGGGGCTGGAGCTGCTGCACCGGGCTCGGGAATAGATGAGGTGTTTGTCTTCGTCTTGCCGAGTCCTCGGCCTTTGCCGGAGCGGCCACCATCCCAGGCGGCTGCGAGTCTGTCCCCTTCATTGGCAAACACGGCCTCGCTAGAAGGGTCAATTGGCGTTGCTGCCACGACCACGACCACTTTCGGTCGATGCTGATCTCTGCTCGGGCCTGTCGCAAACGAATTGTTGAGTTTCTTGGCCTCAGGGTCCTTGTTCGTGACAATGATCTGCGCGGCCTTGTCAAAAAGCTCTGCCATTGTCGTCAGGGTGTCCTCGACGTGAGTCAAAGCATTGCCCAACGCCGGACACGACCTCGAAGCCCATCTGAATGACTGGGATAGATATCAAGCGTTGGTACTTAGCAATCCAGTCAACACTCGCCAACGTGCCTTGTTCGAAGGTCAACCATTTGTCCATTGCCTTGATCTCCCGCGGCTCTACTTGGAACTGCTTATGCCACGCCGCCCTTAGATCATCCCAACTGACCTTGGCGTACAAGTCGGCAGCTACCACCCCGTACTTGGACAAAAGATTGTCCAACCATGCTTGGCACGCGCCCTCCGACCGGGAGTATAAGTACGCGTGATGCTTGTCCTCGCTGACGTGGTGTAGCTGCAACTTGAGCACGAACTTGCAAAACCACGGAATCGGGTCCGTCTTCGTCAAATCGCAGAAGATCTCCTGATCATCGAACTTTGGAGTCGTCTCGCGTGGTGTCGAACTCGGGTTGGCGGTGGCAGCACATATCTGCTGCTCCAGTTGTTGCGTGGCAATTCGTTGTAGCTGCACGTCGTCCTTGAGGGTTCTGACGTCGATTTCCAATGCATTGAGGCGATCGGAGGTGTTGGAGGAGCTGGCATCTGGGGCGGTGACGGGTAGTTGCTGCAGCTGCTCGACGTGGCTGTTGACTTGATCAAACGCCCGATTGTGCGTCTGAATCGCGTCGTCGAGGCTGTGGATGTCCTCCTGATGTGCAATGCACGTTGCCAGGAGACCCGTGAAATGGGAGAGGAGTAAAGCGATCTTGCTTTCACTCTCTTCCATCTTCCCATTCTCGGCCTCAACTCGCCAGTCCGCTGCCATTGTGAGCAAAACTCGCTCTCCGTTGAATATCTTCTCGCGTCGTTGATTTCGTTCTTCATTGGCAACCTTTGCTGCTGCCTCGTCTTGTTCACGCTGCTGTTCGATTGCCAACAGACGTGCCTTCTCGGCATCCTCTGCCTACTTCTTCTCTGCGGCTGCTACCTCATCTGCCCGTTTCTTGGCTTTGGTAATCAAAGCCAGCATCCGGGCCTTATAGGCCTCGGCCGTTTCCCCGGACTTCTGATCCATGCTGGCTGTTTGTAAGCGCGTGAGCATAGAGCAGGCCGGAGGACTGCTGACGTGGCATTGTTCGGCTGCTGACGTGTCCTGCTGACGTGGCCTGCTGACGTGGTCTGCTGACGTGGCCTGCTGACATGGCAACTCACCAATGCCGCTGCAGGGGGTACCCGGAGACAGATAGAGAAAATATGACCAGAGGGGGCAACAACATAGGTGGGGAGGGGTGGGTGGGATAAATCGCCCAGATAAGGAGCTACAAATCAAAAAGACAAGTTTGAACTTTTGCAGAGAAAACAAATTCGAGAAACTAATAACAATCCCAAGTTTTGCAAGTTCAGTAGGTCTCCCAATCTCCCTTAAACAAAAAGAACAAAGAAAATTGGAATTTTCAATTTTCAGAAAAAGAAAAATTTCGATTTTGGCAGTTAGGTCCAGATGTCAGATCAGGTTGTCCTGATTCACATGCAGTGCTCCAATACCAACTGATACATGCCCAGTTGGGCAAGGTTTGTACAGCCAAGGATCCGCGAGGTGATGAAAAGGACTCAATGGACAATGAGTGTCAGTGGGATCTTAACAAGCAGTGTACATCCTGATACATACAAAATGGCACTTTGTAGCGCAGTGGAAGACTGGGATATAAGTCATGACCTGACTGGGACTGACATGACATCCCATTATACATCACCCATGTGAGAGGAGGAGGAGATACCAAACTGTTGTATACCGTAACAGTGCAAACCAGAACAACGACCGACCTCCCTCACATAGTACATGATAGCGCAGCAGAATGCTAGGATACCAATGATCAACCCAATCAATGTCGCAATGCAGGCCCAACATACATCATCATCATCGCAAGGTGTGAAGGGCCTGGCGCTACACACAGGAAGAATGCGCCAGGTCCAGACCATACACAAACAAAGAGGAGGTGATCAGACAAAGAAGAGGGGAAAGATGGGAATGTCGTCAACGGTAGAGGTCCCAAATAATCCCTCGTTCAATGTCTCAATCCCAATGTCGAGTTTGAATCCAAATGTCGTCAAGTCCCAAAGTCGCCAATCTCTCTCTCTCTCTCGTAGTCTGTAGATACTGAGAAGTCAGGTAGCGAGAGGGTGAGGGAGAGATGGTGGATTTAGAAGAGGAAGAAGAAGAACTCTCTCTCTCTCTCTCAGTCCGGTACTAACCTGTGAAGGTGGCGCCTTGTTGCAGGTACGTCGAAGACGAAGCTGACGCCACAGGTAAGTCTCCTTGGCGTCCGCCAACCATCTCTCTCTCTCCAACGCTACTCTAGCTCCTACTAGCGCCCAGCGCTGAAGACTACTCCGCTACTACTACTGCAGCGCTCCTCCAGAGTGCTGCTGCTGAATCCTGAAGACTGCCTCCTGCCTCATGCACATGAAGTGCCTGGGAAGTTCCTATGAACTGCCTGCAGCCTGCAGGGCGGGCCAGTCTTATATATTGCTGGCCCGTCCAGGAGGCTGCTCTTGCCAATGCCAAAACGTGCCAGACCCTGGCGTTGAAGTTCAAACAAAGGTTGTCTTGAAAACAGGCCCAAAATGGCCTGTGCTAAAACCCTGGTCTGGTGCCTAAGTTTCAGGGCAGGTCGATCTTATGGGGCCTGAAAAATGGCCCTCCGTTTCAGGGTGAAAAGACTCAGGGCCTGGAGGGCCCTGTTTTAGGCTGAAACGACACAAGGCCTGTAGGCCCTTGTTTTCAGGCTTTCAGGCTGAAACGACACAGGGCCTGTAGGCCCTTGTTTTCAGGCTTTCAGGCTGAAATGACCCAGGGCCTGAAAATGGCCCTCGCTTGCAGGCGCAGCATGTAACACAGGATGACTGAGATGACAAGTTGCCGCTCATCACTAGCCTGTACAACAAAGCCGTTCACAACACCACGGGCGTCTGTCCGAATGAACTCCATTGGGGGTGGAAGCCTAGATCTGCATTAGACTTCCTCCTTCCTGAAAACCGACTAGCTCCAACACCTGGAACCATTTAGTTCAGTATGAAAAGCTGCTGCAGCAGGCTGTCGAGCACATCAGAAAGTCTCAGGAGGCAATGATTGCCTCTGAGAACAAACATAGACGACGGTCCACATTTCTGGTAGGGGAGCGTGTCTGGGTAAAGGCTAGTGAACTGGGTCAGGAATTTGGAATGTCTACGAAACTAATGCCACAGTACTTTGGTCCTTTGGAAGTCCTAGATACTGTGGGTAGCGATCTGGATGGACCCTCGCATGTCATACGGATCCCTGGTCATCTGCGCACTTACCCTGTATTTCACGCTTCCAAGCTTGCACCTTTCGCTGAGACAGATCAGTTCCCATCAAGGAGATCAATGCTGCCCGCGACCATGGATGGCCATGTGGACGTCGATGACATTTTGGAACATAGAGACTTGCCTGTTCCCAAGCCTGTGGTCCGGAGAAGACCACCCAAACCTATGAGGAAGTACAGGGTCAGATTCAGGCATCATACGGATCCAAAGGAAGATTGTTGGTTCACAAGCGAGGAGCTCGTCAGAACCGCATCTCAGATCGTGGCTGAGTACAGGCAAAGACTGACGGGGAAAGCACCTGCGTAGAAGCATCTCAGCGGACTTTTGAAGCTAAGGGGGGTGGAATGTGAGGATTGAGCCGTCATAGGGCCCTTACAGACATGCAAGTGTTATGAGCTGTGGCCCCCAGCAAGCATTGTGCCCGTCGTAAGTGAAGGCGCGCCTGAATATCCACGAGAGGCCTACATTCTTCATTTTCCATATGAGGGTATCAGACAGTTGCAGCACGCCAGTTGGTTACCGAGCAATGTGACCCTCTCCTGCCTCTGTCCAGAAGCAGCCGCTGTGACGTGCAGTTGGGCCCAGGGCTCGGGTGGTTGCGCCCTGGGCACACTTAGCGTGAGGCCAACACATCATATAGTGGTCGTGGCCCAATGAGAAAGCAGCATTGTCGTCACACGTGCACCGCCAATGAGAATGCGGCAAACACTTGGAACCTGGAGGGCTGCCTGGATGTGCCAACTGTAAAGGGCCCAGGCCCGTAACAGCAAAAGTGGGCCTGGGCGCAGACACTGGGGCCCGACTGGAAGCTACTGGAAACTCATCCAGCCAGGCTCACGCAACCCAACACAGGGCCGCACTTTCCATGAAGGAAAGTGCCCTGCCTAGGCAGAGGCATTTTAGAGTGCCAAGGCATTGCGGCCACACTGCTGCAGTGTCTCGTGAGCGCTGCTTAGCGCTGGCAGGATGGGGCGCACGAGGGCGCTAAGAGGTGAGAGGTTACTGCGGTGGCAGTGGGTGCACGGCAGCCATGGTCGGGCTGCACGTGCGGTGGCAGGTGTCGGTGATGGTGGTCTTCAGGGTAGGAGAGAGAACCTGCCTGGTGTATGCTCGCGGTCGGCATTGGTGATGACGTCGCGTACATTGGTCTTCAACTACGAAGTGATCCAGCTGCATGAACCTAGATAGGCGTAGATAGGCTGAGTAGTGTAGGCTGGGCGCTGTGCACTAGACTGTAGGAGCGACATGGGATACTGTGTTGTTGTGGCCAGAGAGCATTGATATTGGTGCACGAGTTCATTGTATTGCTCTTATTTGGATGGTATGTTGGTGCATTGTGCCCTCTACTTGGTACATGACTGTCTGGACTACTTCGTGATTTTGCAACTTGGATTTCTGTCTATTGCTCTCGCTCATATTCCTTGCAATTGTGTCATTGTCCCATTGAAAAAAGAAAAGAAAAGAGTGGAGGCTCAGCTGTCCTTCGGGACGGTGGTCAAAATTGCAAAGATACAGAGAAGATTAGCATGGACTCCATGGAGCAAGGAATGAGCCCCTAGCAAAGCCCCCAAAGGCCTACACCCACGCCCCAAACATTCGCAGCGGGCTTCAGGGCCGCATGGGCGGGTATTTTTGAGCCTGGCGGGCCTTTCAACAATCTGAGCCCGCCTAGGCTGTGTGACCGCGCCCTCTTTTCCTTCAGCGTGCGGAGGGAGGTCGACATGTCACGCAGCTGCTGCCAGCCAATGAGAACGCAGGAAACAGCAGCAGCCACATCTCACAGTTGTGCGACTATAACTGTCTGTCCCAGGGCCAGGTTCTGGAAAGGCCCTGGACGTGCAGACCCTGGGTCTGGACGAGTTGCTGCAGGGTGCATGGCAGCTCGCTCACTTTCCATATAGGAAAGTGCACGCAGCCAGGCCAGTCATTCGGGCTAGCAGTAGCTGCATAAGCCCTGCCACTTGGAGAGGATGGCAAAGGGCGCTGGCCGGGGCACACACGGGCGCTTGGGAGGGTGCTTCCTGATTGCAGCATGCAGGTCAGCCATGGTCAGGCTGAGCCTGCTGATGCTGGTGTTGGGGATGGTGGTCCTGGCCAAGGGAGATGGATTGTGGGGGTCGAGGTGTTGAGAGAGAGAGAGAGAGAGAGAGAGAGAG